ACAAATATCAATAATACGTGGCTTTATACCCTTCTAAAATGTCTATATATTTTGTTTGCTTGCAATTTCTTTAGAAATAAACAGAAAACAAAAGCAATCAATTTCTCATTGGCAACAATTACACACATCTCAAATAAATATATCAAGAAAATCTGGTAACTCACTATTTGGCTTTTCTCATTGCATTCAAAAAAAAAAAAGAGGAAAAGACCCATAGAACAGTTAAAATGCATCAGACTTCAACAAAGAATCATGAATGATCAGATTGAAAAAATCACAGAAGGGTAAAAAGCATACCTCAGGTAATATTCCAAGGTCCTTTGAAGGAGAAACCAACCTACCATGGTTGCCTTCTTTTCCCAAATCATAACTTGCCACTCCATAGCTTCCCTTGTAGGGTTCTGTCACAATTCCAATAAAACAGTTTATTCTATCTTCTTCTTCTTCTTCTTCTTCCTCTCTTTTTTTTTTTTTCTGCTTTCTGAAATCCAAATCATTTAACATTTATCATTGAGAGACAAATACCTTTTGCCCAATTAAACGTTCTGAGATCCCATCTTTCCTTCTTTTGTTTTCCCGTTCACCTCCCATGTCTTACCTTCAAATCAAGAAAGAAGACCGTTTGACAAAAATCTTCGAGTAAAAAAAATATATAAATACATATTTTACAGGGACAGTGTTGAATCTTGCTGTTCAGAAATAATATAGTGTATATGAGAAATTTTAAGTTAAAAAAGACAATGCTTAGCTCCAAATTCAGAGACAGATCAGGAAATACAAGAAACCAAAAAAAAGAAAAAAAATCAAGAAAGAAAAAGAAAAAGAAAAACCTTCTGCTTGAAGAATAGACCAGCTGGCGCGGCAGTCCAGTTTGGACTTACAGTCAGCAAGATTTTAAACCCAAAAGGCAAACATAAGCGACAGAAAGCAAGTCATGACAACACATTACGTCCTGAATTCCATCTAATATCTTCATTTCTTAAATCTATAGTGTAGCAACATAACATAATCAGAAGCATTGCATTTCCAAAGCTTTGTAGGCAAATATACTAAGAAGAATTCCCAAAACTGAAAACTGCAAAAAAAAAGGAAAAAAAAAGGCCCTTGGAGGCTGCCATTTGCTAGCAATATAGCTTAGGGCCTTAAGCCAACCAAAGAACATATCAATCATAAATATTAGTGGACCTAAACTACAAACTGATAATGCAAACATTGGCTGGCAATATTATAGAGTTAATATTAGTAGACATGTTTAATGACAGCAACAATTTGATTGCTACTTCAAATCCAATTAAGCAAATACTCAAATCCTAAAAGAATCTGCAAGAATAAATGGAAAGGGAAAAAACAAACTGTAGACCCCACCCCACACACAGAATCAAACACCTAAAAATCTACTGGTAAAGGGAAAAATGTAACGATATCTTAAACTTACCGAATCAGTACTGTGAGACAAAGGAGATGCCAGGACTTCAAAGAGCAGAGATCCAAAGAACCTAGAACAAATTGAAAACGTATGAATCTGTAAGAATAAACTAAAATAGAAAATCGAACATTTGACAGATAAACTCACCAAATCGAACAGCTATAGCAGATGGTAAAGAACCTAGTTCTATTACAATTAATTACACAAATTGAAAACCCAAAAAACTACAAGAATAAATTGAAAGGGAAAATCGAACATTCGACAATAAACGCACCAAATCGCATTCAGCAAGGTGACTTGATAGAGCAGAAAATAAAAGAACCTAGTTCATATCCAATTTATTATATAAATTGAAAACCTAAAAATCTGCAAGAATAAATTATGAAACCGACCAGATCGCAAACTGAGAGGCAAGGCAGATAAGATGCCACAGACCGTTAGAGCGGAAAGTAAAAAACCGAATCTGCGAGAATAAATGGAAACATCGAACGATTCAGCAGCTCCTAAACTCACCAAAGAATAGCGCGGAGGTAATGATGTCGACGCTGGACACCAAGACTCATGAGAGAGACTAGGGGAGATGATGCCAAACACCAGAAGAGTGTGGAGAAAGTGATGACGAAAATCGAGGGATAAAGGAGACGATCTGTTGTAATCATTCTCATTGGATTTCTTGAACTACCTATTCAATCCCCAACAGAATGTTACCCACTGTTCCTGTCAAAATCAACAACAAATGCAAACAAAAAACCTATTTCTTGAAACCCAAAATTCGAACCAAAGAAAAAATTCCAAATACAAAATTAAAAAAAAAAAACATTTACTTATCCGCTTCAAGCGCAAACCCGAACCACAAGCACCAATGGAACAGCAATGCTGCTTGAGGTTTTGACAATGAACGCCGATTGTGAAACCACAGGAGCATTGCCCCTCAGGTGCTCAAATCTCAAAATCCAGCTCAAAATTTCCTCTTCCATGATCGATGACCGAAGAACAGATTTTCGAAGATTGAATTAAGCACAAATAAGGAAATGATCATCCGAAACACAGAAGAGCAAAAAGACTCAAAAGTCATGTTCCAAGAGAGAAAGGGGTAAAGAAAGCACTGGGCAAACAAACCCAAAACACTAAAAGTCAGCTCAAACCACTGAACTCAACTTTCCCTTTTGATGGTCGAGGACCACGACCAGATTTTGCGAGAATCAATCAAACTCCACGAGGAAAATAGACCAGGATAGACACTGCAAAAACAGGAAGAGTAAAAAGACCCAAAAGCCCTACTCCAATAGAGAAAAGGAGAAACAAAGCCCTGAGGGTAAAATAGAGAAACACATTCTTTCTGAGGGGTGGAAGGGAAAAGGTCATGAAATGACAGACATGCCCCCCATAACAGGTGAAATAGTAAAATAAAGTTTTAAGGGCAAAAGTGGAAACCTAATATCAAATGACAAAAACCACACATGACTTGTGAAATAGAGTGAGGAAACTTAGAGGGCAAAAGTAGAAAAATAAAAGTTATTGTAGCAATGTGAGAGGGGGACTTCCTCCCATTATCTTATTTGATGTTTGGTTAAAAGGTTTGTGCCAACTTTCGATATCCAAAAAGCTACATTGTATTTTGATTAACTCGGAGTTGAATTGGATCAGATCTTATATAGAGGAAGCTCTTCCAACACTTATTTTTTTATTTACAAGAATCGAACTTAAGATTTTGTTTAAGAAAAAACCGAGCTCCTTCCCTAATACTTGAACATGGCTTCTAATCATTTGAGCATCAACTTCAATCATGACTAGATTCCTCCATTCCAATTAAAATATATTGATCTTGGATCTTGCAAATTGGGCCCTAATTTTCCAAGCTGGTTACAGGCCCAAAGGAACTATTAGTTTCTTAATATTTCTACAACTGGAATTTCAAATAGCATCCCTATCTGGTTCGGTAAGCTGCCTTCTACGGCACGAGCTATAGATCTTTCTTCTAACCAGATCGGTGGAATTCTTCCAAATTTGTCAGGGAATTTTTCATCTCATTCTTATGCCCTAGGGTAGATGCCCTTGGGATAGATTTAAGTGGAAATCATTTGGAGGGTCCATTGCCGTCATTTCCTGCTAATACCACGCACATAAACCTCTCAAAAAATAGGTTTAATGGATCAATTTCTTCTCTCCGTGCTATGACTAGTATGTCTCTTGGGTTCTTTGATCTTTCAAGCAATCAACTATCTGAAGAGCTTCCCAATTGTATGATGCATTGGTCAAGTTTGCGAATTTTGAATTTGGCTAACAATCATTTCTTTGGAAAAATTCCGCGCTTTGTGCGATCTCTCTCTTTGATTGAAACGTTTGATTTGTAAAACAACAACCTCTTTGGGAAAATTCCTAGTTCTTTAAGGAACTGCAGTAAATTGCAATTTCTGGGTTTGAGTAATAATAGATTGTCTGGAATAATACCAAGTTGGATTGGAGAAAGGTCAAATTCACTAAATTTCCTCCTCCTAAAATCCAATAATTTTGTTGGAGAAATCCCATTGGAGATATGCCAGTTGACAAATATTCTGCTGCTGGACCTTTCTTATAACAACCTCGCCGGACCCATACCATGGTGCATTGGTAATCTGACTGCTTTGGCCAAAAAAGACATTTCAGCCAAACATCATTTCTGCAATTCTTCACTTGTTCATAGCTATTATGATCGTGAAGGAAGCTATGCTGACAAAGCATCTGTTATATGGAAAGGAATAGAATATCCTTATGAAAATCTTACACTTCAGAGGACCATTGATCTTTCAAGCAACAAACTAACCGGAGAAATTCCTATGCAAATTGCTAGTTTTTCTGAACTGCATCAATTGAACTTATCAAGAAACCATTTGATTGGAAGGATACCACCAAATATTGGACAGATGAGACAATTGGAATCACTTGATCTTTCACACAACAGGCTTTCAAGCTGGCTTCCTCCAAGCATGTCCCGATTACATTACCTTAGCACATTGAACTTGTCATATAACAACTTTTCTGGGAGAATTCCATGAAGCACTCAATTGCAGAGCCTTCCTGCTTCTTCATTTATTGAGAATCCTGCACTCTGTGGACCTCCTCTCCCACAAAAATGCCCCAGTGATGAAAAGCCAATGGATGGTGGTGTCAAATACAATCAACAAGACAAAGATGAATTCTGGAAAGTGTTCAAACCCAGTATTGAATTTGGAATGGCGTTTGGCTTTCTAGGAGTTTTGGCTCTCAAATTAGATGATCCCTGGAAACATATTTGTTTCCTGTTGTTCAACTACATGAAGGTTCACCTCAACAACTTGAAGGACTACCTCCTTTCGATTGTGGCAGCACTTTGTTTGGTGATAGCTGTGAAAGTTGCTAGATTGCGAAGAAAGTCGAGGTTTTAGGAGCCATCCGTAGGTAGGTATGTTTTGGGTTTGTTTAGGACTTCATGGCATCTTTTTCAGTTGCATTACTTAATTGGAAATAACTCAGGAGATCACCTTTAATTGTTGTTTTGCAGGTTCAAGATGATTGTTCAGGGACTTCAAGGACTGCTCTTGAGAAGTGAAATTCCAGGGCTTCCTTTTTAGGCTACCACGGTCTTTAGAACAACCTTTTTTTATTTCCTATGTGTGTAATAAATTATGGTTTGTTTGTATGTTTTATGGTTTTATGTATGTTTAGTTAATTTCACGATCTAGTTTGTAAGGAATGAAGAACAAGTTATGTGCAATTAAAATAAGATCAAAACCTGAATTGTGAAAGCCTTTAATTCAGCAACTTAGCAACCTCGACACTTGATGTTAATCAAGTTTAAATCTTCATTTGCATTATATCTTCAAAATTGAATTAATAATCTGGTGGTATATACTCTACCATTAATATTTTCTGTTATTTATGTTAATTTAAATAATTTCAATTTTGATTTTGATTAACCCAATACTTAATGCAGGTATATACAATAGTCAGTAGGACTAAAACATTCCTTGTGGTCCATCTTCATTTTTTTGAAAAAAAAAAAAAATTCCATATGATCCCAATTCCCTAAGCGTTAGTAATACTGTAATACTAATCAATTTATTCTGTTTTATTAAGAAAAATCATTAATATCTTACAAACAACTGAATGTCTAAAAAAGTATTTTCATTTTAATTACTAAAAGAAATTACCTCATGTTATTAATAATGATAAACATGTTTCTCAAGCTTAGTTTGATAAAAAATTTTCTAGTTTGGACTGAAAAAATCAAGCTCATTATTACATTTATTTTGCTTCTTCTTCTTCTTCTTCTTTTTTCTTTTTGCTTTTCTCCTAAATAAGCTAAACCGAAACATTTTTTTTTTATCTTAATCTCAATAAATGAGTAATGATGATTTCAGCTGGAAATCATGGGATTAACGGCTTAACCAGAACAGCGGCAATTTCGTAATTAACGAAAAACCCCAATAGATCCTTCCTCAGAAAACTGCCCATCTTCTTCTTCGATCACTACACCACCCTCACTCTACACTCTTCCAAACTCTTTCTCAGACTTAGCCATGGCGGTTTCAAAGTCTCCGTCAGCAGCAGCGAAGCATCATTCACCGACAAAAGCAGAGGCCAAGGCAATCTCTTCACTGTTCACCACAAGGGGAACGATGGTGTTTGCTTTTGGCGTCACATTTGCTTTTGTTGCTTGTACGGCTTTCTTGGTGCTAAACCCATCTTCCAATTCCTCTCCTTGGATAAAAAACTTCCTCAAGTCGTCGTCTTCCAGCTCCCGGTTTTCCTCTCTTTTCTCTTCATTTGTTTCTAATTTTTCCCAAACCGATGGCAACCCACTTCCTTTCACTTACCCACCGGCCGCCCCTTTTTGGGTTTCTTGGGAAAGCAGTGGATTTGGTGACAAAAATGGGTCTTTGTCCGGTGATGGAGAAAGTCGAGTGTCGGAGGATGTTCTGGCATTCAATCAAACGGGTACTTTACTCTTCACTCCGACTGTTTCTTTCTCTCAAGAATCTAATGGCACATCAAAAGGTTTAATTATTCAAATTTCCAGTAGCCCATCAAAGAATGAGAGTTGGGATGCTAATGTAACAAGAGATCCAGGTGGTTCTCAGTCTTTCTCGGATAATGCTGGTGATTACCGATTTGCTTTAAAAGGAGATGGAAAGGAATCAAAGGATGTGTGGGATTTGGAAATGAATGTGACAGGGGAAGGGGTTTTAGGTAAGGGGCGAGAGTCTAGCAATGTGACACTGGAATCAAATGAAATGGATGGATTTGGAAGTGTTGATGACATTTTTAGTAAGCATAGAAATGGAGATCTTAAGGATATAGACTTAATGAACCATTGTAACATATTTGATGGGAAGTGGGTGAGAGATGATTCTTGTCCAATTTATGCACCAGGGTCTTGTCCCCATATTGATGAGCCTTTCAATTGTTATCTTAATGGTAGACCTGACCGAGGCTATGAGAAGTATAGATGGCAACCCAAAGATTGCAATATACCAAGGTAACTTGCTCAGTTTGTTGATTAATACATACATACATACATACATACATATATATATATATATATGCAAATAAATTATGCCAATCTATTTAATCACAAACTTCTACTGCTACTGAGGTAGTAGACTTTGTTTGGGGTTTAGGTTTATGCTTGTGTTGACTATTATAGGAGTAATTATTTTGTTGCTAATCAGTTTTGCGAGCAAAAATAAAATGCTTGCCACGCACACCAATGGACTAGTTTGAAAATTTGTTTACAAGCACATTGTATGCAGAAACTTCGATGGTTGTTTACTCTATCTCCATGTTGATTTTCTTTTTGGTCAAAATTTCACATTCTGGACTTTTTTTTGAATGAGATTGTCACCCCTGATTGTTATGTGTGCTTTATGTAGACTCTGGTTAGGCTATTAGTGTAACTGGCTCATATGGACCCATGCAGGTTGAATGGTAGGCATATGCTGGAATTGTTGAGAGGAAAGCGTGTAGTTTTTGTTGGTGATTCTCTAAACAGAAATATGTGGGAGTCTCTTGTGTGCATCCTTCATAGCTCAGTGGGAGACAAAAGTAGAGTTTGTGAAGCCTCTGGCAGAAATGAATTTCGAACAGATGGCTCTTATTCTTTCAAGTTTGAAGTATATGTTCCAAATTCTTCTCATTGATTTGGATTTCATAGTCTTGATATAATCTTCTTTTCCTTGCCAAGGAAAACTCTTTCCATATTTCACCTTGTTTTGCTTATTGTTTGTTAATAATGGATGGATGGATTAACAGGATTACAACTGTTCAGTGGAGTACTTTCGATCACCATTTCTAGTTCAAGAAGGTGACATGTCTGGAAAAAATGGATTGATGAAGGAAACTCTTCACCTTGATATGATTGAGAAATCATCTGATAAGTACAAAAGTGCTGATATTCTCATCTTCAACACAGGGCACTGGTGGACTCATGAGAAAACTTCAAAAGGGTACGGTTTATGCTGCCTGTCTATTTCCAAAGAATTTTATGTAGATAAATTATAAAAGTTTAAGAAATTTGCAGGAAAGGTTACTATCAAGAGGGTAGCATAATTTATGATCAATTGAATGTCAAAGTGGCATTTCGGAAAGCTTTGACCACATGGGCAAGATGGATAGATGCTAATATAGATCCTATGAAGACCCTTGTTTTCTTCAGGGGATATTCTGCTTCCCACTTTAGGTAAATGGAATACTGAAGGCTCTTTAAGTTAAAAAACGTTGACAACAGAAGAGGGAATCTTAAGTAATTCTGCTTGCGTACAGGGGTGGAAGATGGAATTCTGGAGGTCAATGCCACAGTGAGACTGAACCTTCAGAGAATGAGATATACTCAAAAAAGTATTCATCAAAAATGAGAATTTTAGAATCAGTAATCAATGGGATGAATACATCCGTGCTTTATCTGAATATTACCAGAATGACTGGTTTCCGGAAGGATGCTCACCCATCAATATACAGGAAGCAGAATTTAACTGAGGAAGAAAGATTGGCACTGGGATTCCAGGATTGCAGCCACTGGTGTCTTCCTGGTGTTCCTGATACATGGAATGAACTTATATATGCTAAACTCCTTATTGCACATAACCAAAAACACCAAGATCAGCTCTACCAAGAACAACTGCGAAGACCATAGGTAAAATAAATGTTTTTTATGCTTCTGTTGATCAGCTGAATGATTAGTTTTTAGATTGGTTCATCTCAAAGAATTCTCTGGTAAATAGTTATGATCATTACTGAGAATATTAAAATGATGGTATTGGTAGTGCACTATTGCTGAAAGGAAAGAGAGAAAAAGGGGCTGAATGCAGTTGTCTGTAAACATGGAGAAGGTGATGGTGATGGGATTTTCTATTTTGGTTCCGGGGAGTTGTACTTTCTGTCCTCATGCACTCAATTTAGCTGTGTTTCTAGTGGAATGTAAATCTATCATGAATCCATTGTTTGAAACGATATCAGGTTTTATTATCTGTTAATATGAATCAAAGGCAATTTTGAATTTTGATCTCAAATTGAAAAACTTTTGTCCCTAGTTTTCTTGATTCTTCAAATGAAGCTTTTGCCTGATTCTGTCTGTCTTGTCTCCAGAGCATTGGAGAACAATAAGCAAAGGGTTGAATAGTTTGACACATCTGCTATATATCTGAGACAAATTAAGAGAAAACTTATCCATCTAGCTTCCTTTATTGAATTCACTTTCTCAGATTAATTTTTTCTTTCTTTGAATTTGGAACAAGGAAAATTGTTAACTAACCCGAGTTTTCAAGTGTTCAGTTAACCCTCTTGCAGTCGGTTCTGATTTCTCCATCCTTTCCCGTTAAGGACTAATATTTCCCATCTTTATCATGGACTGACCAAAGCTATCAAAGAAATCACTCTGGCTGTTAGCAAACCTATCGACAATGGCCACAGTATCAGCCCCACTGGCGGAGAACAAATCTTGATCTGTCTGAAGAAGGCCCTGGTTGTTCTGAATATTTGTGAAGTAGTTGTTGTAGAAACCATCAGGCGTTGATGGATCCGGATTTGTTAATGTCCGTCCATTACCAAGTACCAACTTGAGGACAAGCATCCTGAAGTTTTTCCAGGTGTGCTGTGTCCAGGGATGGGTCTGGATTTCCAGCGTTGCTGAAATTGTAAAGCCTGTGGGAAAGAACTGGCATTGAGCCCTACCAATGGTGTGTGCTCCTGTGAAGAAAAAATAAAATCTCAATTGTACACTGAAGAATATTTATGCAGTGTCTGATTGAAAAGGTTGACATAAATCACATTCGGTACCAAAGAAACCAGGAATTGAGATACAATGGCAAAAATATCAGCACAAGAAACAACACTGGGACATTCGTTCCCCAGTGCAGTTTTGATGTGGTCAAACACATCAAATCCCATAACTGAATTCGCGTTAGGGCATGCATATTTTTCACTCGTTACGCCATTTGCACTGTCATTGTCTAGCAAGATCGAGCCATCACAACCCTGCAACAAAATGAGAATCTTTCATAATCTCAACTTGTCCCTTTATTATTGGACTAAAACATAAAAAGATTCAATCGACACAGACATGCGGTACTTACTTTGACAAAGCAGTCATAAAAGTGAAGAAGTAAAATTTTGGCTCCAATTCGGGCATCATTTTGCTGAGCGCCTGAGCCTGCTTGACTACCCCGAGTACAATGTTGGACGTGTTGGGGCATGACTTAGCATAAAACGTAGGACTAAGTTGTGCATTAGATGTCCCCAACATCACAAAAAAAAGAACTGTGGTAATTCTGAGTGGAAAAATTGGCATTTTCTTTCTTAACATTTTCATGTGGAAGCATGTAGTCTAATTCCTATGCGATTCATTTGTGACACTGAAGTCTTTATATAGAAATAATGTTCATGATGGATTGCAACCAAAAAAGAAAGAAAAAAATAAAAAAGGTAAAATATGTGACTGAGAAATTTCTTCGCTCTACCTTTGCTTTTTCCTTCCATAATTCCATTTCATAGAAAAACCTCGTAATTATGATCATGATCAAGCCATGAGATTCAACATTTTATAATGTAAAACCCTAAGAAATTATGATCATGATCAAGCCATGAGATTCAACATTTTATAATGTAAAACCCTAAGAAATGTAAAGTTTTTCAATTAATGGATAGTGAAATTCGATGAAATTGCGAGTATTCTTGACTTTTTTTTGGGTGAAGTATATGCTAACTCATGAATTTGTTTGTATTGAACTGAATTGGTTGGAATTGCTTCTTACTTCACTTGGTTGTCTACTAATTTAGGATACAGTGGAGATGTAGTGTGCTGGAGATGATACGAGTATACGACTTCAGTTTAATTTGTCATTCAATCAATTACTTTTAGAGTATGAGATTTGAAATTAAAGATTTTAAGTTTAAATTTTAAGATAAGTAAAGAAATATTAAAGAAATGAGAGCAAGTATCTTTTATTATATAATCATCATGATATACTAAAAAAATTATAGATAATTCAAGATTCACCAATTTAACTTTATATATTTCTAGAGATGTATATTGTCCAAATAAATGATAATAAAAGTTGACATATGCATCTTTTTAGACGAAGGCTGAGATGCCAAGAAATTTTGGACCGGTGTATTGAGAACCCTAGAAGTTCCAGACTTGGTTGGCACACAAAGCAACTGCATAATCAATTACTTTATACTTAGTCATTTAACCCCTGCACAAGGATTGGTTTTCAACAAATAAAGTTTAATCTTTTTTGACTACTTATTTTTAAGTTTTATTGTTAGTAGTTTCTCCTGAATAGACGATTTATAAGTGACAATTGTATGTTCTTGTAGCTGATGGTATATCTAGTCTTGGATTGAAGTAATTAACTTCCCCTCACCTTAAACTTACATGTATATATATATATATATATATAATTGTTTATATCTATATATAAAGGAGGAACTATTGCATGCAACGTTCAATTAATTGTTTAATTTGCCAATGGGACAGAATGTCTTCGTCAAGAGTATAAGATGCAGTGAAATGTTGTAAAAAGAATAAAATTGTGATTGTTTTAAATTCTAGAAATGTAGAAGTCAAGTTAGGAGGCAAAAAAATCCACGTACAGGCAAATAATTCTTTTCTTCCGTACCTCAGTCACAGTCGTATTGTACTGTAGGAGGCATTTATTTTATCTCTACAATTTTACTTTTCTTCCCCTAAAAGCCTCTCCAAAGCTAACTTCATCAGAGTTTGAAAACCGAATTTGATTCTTCATTCACACAATAAAATTAGACAAAATTAAACATTTATGTTTTGTTTACATTGAGTCACAATTCAATTTGTTGTATATTTAAATATAAAAAGCTTTATTCAAGAAAGGAGTTATTTTTTAACAATAAATAAATGCACTTAATTGTTACAAAGATTCAAATAATTCAGTCTTAATTATAAAATTAAAGTTTTGAATTTATTGAACATGGCAGCTAACCTGATGTCCATAAACTAGAATGATTTGGCAGCATAACGTAAAGATAATTAGATGCAAACAAGCTTTATTCATTAATTTATATTCAGCAAAATACACTAGCATAAAGATGGTTATTGATTAGCCTTCCTCTTTTGTTATTGATCAAATCAAATGGAGCTAACTAGGCCTCCATTTGATTTAGCAGTTGTTATTGAGTCACCATTAACAACTCTGCAATTCAATCTAATCTCTCCTTTAGTACCCGTCAAAGGCATGATGTTTCCCATTCTTATCATAGATTCAGCAAAACTTTCAAAGAATGCAGTTTGGTTGTTGCTAAATCTGTTAACAATTTCAATGGTATCTGCTCCAGCAGTGGAGAACAACTCTTGATCACTTTGAAGCAGACCTTTTTGAGCCTGAAGGTTGGCAAAGTAGTTGTTGTCAAAGGTATCGGGTGTTGTGGGATCAAAATCTGTCAGGACACTTCCATTACCACCTTGAGGGCATAATTCACGCAATGTTGCTAAATAGGTTGTATCCAGGAAAGTGTACTCAGGATTTCCATTGCCATCAAAGTCGTACAGTCTGTTTATGAATGTATTGCATCGAGCCCGTCCAATTGCGTGACCACCTGAAAAAAAATGCAGTCCTACTTTAGAACTAAATAAAATCATATCCTTCCATCAAAAATAAAATAAAATAAAATAAAATTATATCCTTAATTCCTCCTAATTATATGTGAATTCAGTTTTAAACTGCTTGAGGAAAGTGTCTCTATAAAGTCTTGGAATTACCAGACAGCGCGACCAGATCTGTGCTGGTGTTAAGTCCAACAGCAAAGAATTTGGATTTGAGTTCTTCCAGGGTTTCAGTAGGACCTGGAAGGAATTCATCAGCCACTGTGCGGTTTGCGGTTCTGCTGTCTCTTCTTCCTAACAAAACCGGCCAAGATGGGCCTCCTGCCTGCCAAAATGAAACTTGGTTATGAACAACATACATTAAAAACCCATAGTTTTGTTTTTCAGGGGAAGGCAAGTAGAGATCAGTACCAAATAGACTGATTCTTCAGCTGCAATAGCAAGAATGTCAGCACAGGAGACGGTAGCGGGACAAGCAGTCTCCAACTCTGCCTTCATTGCATCAACAACATTATAACCCCTCAAGGAGTTGTTGTTAGCCAATGATTCCTTCTCACTCACTATGGTGTCACTGTTGTCTAGCAAAACCGAAGCACCACAGCCCTGAAATAAGTTGCAGCAGATTATCATTGAAGAAAAAAACGGCACCAAATTAATAAAACACAAAAAAGAGAATGAAATTATGGGAAATAGCATAAGGTTTGAACTTGGAAGGGATTGGAGATGTTACACTAACGAAGCAGTCATGGAAATGAAGCCTAATAAGACTTGC